AAGGTCGTGAACCTTGAAGTTGAACCTCACACTGATTTTCTATTTTCTTTTTTTTTTCTTTGACTTTTGTAAATCACTAATTTGTAGACAAATTATTTTTTTTTCTACAAATTAGGTTTTGATTTTGTTTTTCGTATTTCGTGCATAACTAATCACAAAAGTTCCGCCTTTTTTCTTTGCTTCTCCAGGTTTTATATCACGGCTATCGTTAATTAAATGGAATGAGCTATTCATTGTTTTCCTTCAGGGCTTTTCGAAAGGATGATCGTAATTTGACCCGAAGTATTTGTCAAATATATTTAGTCGTCTTGTATTCGGGCGTGGAAGTTTCTTTCTCTGTTTAAGTACAGTGACTCAGTCTCCAAATGTTTATAAATGGTCAGCATATTCCAAAAGAGGTTTTACGGAGGCCCTCAAGGTTAGTGGTTTTTTGTGTTCTTATTATTATTTGCATTCCTGTTTCTCGTTTGCATTCCTCCTCCTCCTCCTCCTCCTCCTCCTCCTCCTCTTCCTCTTTCTCCTCCTCCTCCTCCTCCTCCTCTTCCTCTTTCTCCTCCTCCTCCTCCTCTTGGGTAAATCAATGTAACTTAAATTTATTGAGAAATTCCATTGATTTAGTATCCGATTTTATATGAGTTAAGAGAGAGAGAGAGAGAGAGAGAGAGAGAGAGAGAGAGAGAGAGAGAGAGAGAGAGAGAGAGAGAGAGAGAGAGTGAGAGAGTGACAGAGAGAGACAGACATACAGACAGACAGACAGACAGACAGATGGGGGAAGGAGGTTTCTGTTCAGTACTGAACTCTATTCCCTATTAGCTCAACACCTTGATACCTTCAGCTTCTCTGATCCCTTCCACCCAGAGCTCCGCCAACACATATTACTCCTCTACTCCGGCTGTAGCCTCCTACCCTGTCCCAGAGTGGCACTCAAGAGCACACTGAACTCCGCATCACTGGCAGAGTCAGCCCGCGTCGTCCACGCTCGGAAGATGCTCCTGATTGGTCCCCCGGGTCCAGTGCTCAGGCTCCATCATTACAGCGTCAACCCGTGCTCGCTATCAGAGAATTTTAACGTTCAGCTCAAGAGGGGGAGATGTTCAGTGTTCAGTTGAGAGCACTCAAGAATGAGTCTCCTGTGGCTACTCAAGGGTGAGGTAGGGGTTCAGGGGCCGGCTGCTGCCTCCCTTAATATTCCCTTCCAGGCCCCCCTGAGAGGTGGTATTAAGCGGAGACACGACCGGGAGAAGACGGAAGCTGAAGAGGAGGGGATGAGATGCAAGAGTTGAGACGGTCAAAGGAGTGCGTGTGTGACCACGTCTGGCTTCACTAACAACAACAGTACTTCAACACGCCTCTGCACACCTCCACATAATTGCAAAGGCTGCCACGCAGCTCCACATGCTCCACCCGACCTCCAGTCAACCTCCACAAAAGCCTACAAACGCCTACCTCAACCTCCTCCCCTCCCCCCATCACCACCCATTCTACATCCAGCCTTCGGCACTACATTTCAAGGAGCAAAAGCTCTCAGTACCAGGCAGCCGAGATCATGCCGAATATGACGTTTTAAAAGGAAAGCCTGTTAAAGCCGACCCGACCAGTCTCATTGCCGTGTGTACATCACCCAGCTCTTGGGTGTGTTTGTGGCTGGTGGCTTCCAGGGTGTGGAACCGGATAGGAGGAGATGGAAGAAGAGGGAGAGTAGGATAATTAAGAATAGCAAGAGAAGGAGGAGAAGAAGAAAGAAGAAGCGGTTGAGAAGGAGGAAGAGAAGAGTAGAAGAAAATATAAAAAAGAATAGGAAGGAGAAAGATGAGAACGAGGATGAAAGGAGATAAAGGAATAGAAAGAGGAAGATACAGGGTAAGAGGAAAATAGTTACAAGATAAAGAGAAGAAGGAAAATAAATAGAAGCTAAAGAGAAAGGGGAAATAAATAAAAGATAAAGGAGGGGGAATATAAATACATATAACTGCGTATAAGCAGGAGGAAGAGGCGAAGAAGAATGATGAACAAGAACAAGAGGATGACGAAAACCATCCAGGAGGAGGAGGACTGAAAAAGCGACAAAAGCACTAGAGAGAGAGAGAGACACTGTAGGAAGAGTTACCTGCTAACGGGAATTACGAAAAAGCACGTCAAGCGACAACAATGAACGTGTATTTACAGAAGAGAACAGCGAGAGGGGCTACTCCCAACGTGTAACGGAAGCCATCTGTTAGCAGGAGGCTCCAACATGCAGCCCATTTAGGAAAGACGAATATGTTAGCTGCATTCACAGCCCGTCCGTAGTGTTGACAGTTGTTTACAGTTAAGGAGGAGGCGAGGAATGTCCCGTCATCTTTATTAAGACAATTGCTTGTTTTCTGTCGTTGTTTTGTTTCCAGACCTCTTACGTGCGCGGGATGAGGTCCATTGAGAGATTTTCAATTGTGGTTAACGGGTTCGTTTACACCGAAACAGCTTTAGGCTGTGCTCGTTCAAGCTGCTGCGGCCGTCCCTAGCAACCTATTCTCAAGATTGGCAGCTCGTCCAAGCGATGGCCCTCACCACCTGAAGGTTTTCAGGTCACTCGTCTCGTCTTGCGGTCGACCCGAAAGACGGGTTCGCCAATTTCAGCGTACTGTGTAGCCTAAAATGATATATTCTCGAATATAAATTAATATTAATATATATTATTATTATAATTTTTTATATTTTGGCCTAAAATAGGTTAGGTTAGGAGACCTGGTTCTGTTGGCATTTGTATTTGATTTTGCGGTGTTTGAATGATGCTTCGAACACAGAAAAAGAGCGAAACATTGTTCGAGTAAGTTCGAACGTAATCAGGTGTAAGTAAAAATAATTTCAAAAGTGTTTTCCATTGGTAAACATTGGATTAGATGCTGCATTAACGAGCCTTTAGCCAATGTTTATGGTTGGGCTGGTTACACAGGCCGTCTTAGTCGCATAAACTGCAACTACTAAGTCTGCTGGGTTTATTTTTTTGCTTCAGCTCATAATCAAATGAGATGGGTTGGGTTCAAAACGTATAAGTCAAATTTTAACATTAAAATTTGCGTATCAGTTTTTGGCTTATATCTTGAGCTGGAGGATGGGCTGGTGTTTATATCTTTAGTTGATGGCTCTGGCTCTTGGATCCAAAGATTCGTTCAGTTCCCATAATTTGATCCATTGGTTCTAGTATATGATCTACTGACCCCTCTTTTGGAAACTACGAGTCTCTATACCTCCCCCTTTGGATGCTAACTAATATTTACAGTATGGGGAAATTACAGGCCCGTCAACATCTGAACCGGTACAACAGCAAGTCTCAACTATGACATGCAGTTGTACGATGACACCCGTTGTTGACGAGGGCTCCTCTGTCTTCCCTCGCCTTCCTGGCGTTTGGTCTAGTCATGCTAATTTCAGTTTACACACCTGCAGGAATAGATACTAATATCTTCCAAATAAACAGCTGCTCAATGCATTTAATGGCCTCCCGGAAGTAAACACAAATGATTAGACGCGAGGAAACACATTCTAGAAACATTTAGCGCCAGTGGTTCTCAGCCAGCGTGTTGCGACGCCCTTGGGGACTTTCTGGGTATTAGAAAATAAACCCCGTTTTCCCAAAAAAAAGTTGGGAACAGCTATATTTAATTTTTTTTGTATATAATTATTTATAGGGCGGAGAGGGTACGTGTAAATATTACCACACACGCGGCATCACACAAGAAGGCAAGTTCGTGCATTATCGAATAGCAAGAAAAGGAATATGCTAATGGACAAATAGAATAAGACTACTGGAAGTAAAAGAAAGGTAAATATATAATATGAAAATATTACATAAGGGAAAACGTATCGAACTAATTCCTTGACCGACCCCTTGTAAGCTTAGCTGTGCCGAACCTCTGTATCATAACTTTTGTGTCTTTGATTAGTCAAGGATACCCAATTCTGTCTTTGGATTGTTCAAAGATGGCCAATCGTGTCTTCGATTGGTTAACATCGACGTATCCAGTATATTAAAAAGAACGAAGTTATATTCCTCCTTCGTAATTCATTGGAACATTTCATGGAATATTTGAATGGAAAAGAATATTGACCAAGAGGAATATATTCTACGCCGACCAACAAGGATCAAAACTGAGAATACATCCTACGAAACACCATTTGGACTGGTCAGTACAGTGTTGACTGATCAGTCCAAATGATATTTCGACCTTGCTTCATGTCGGGTTTGGGTTTCGATCCCCAACAGTCCAAAGGAGTTGGGCACCGTCCCTGCCCTCTTCCTGTCCTGTTCCTATCCCCCTCGCCCCTGTCCCAGCTCCTCGTCTGTCCTCATTTTCCGTCCTTGTGCTATATAGTTATATAGGCCTACCGCTTCCTCGTTATCTTATCTCACCAGAGAGCTACTGAAGATTACCAAAAAGCACAACAATCTCGGCCGAGAAGAACACTTTAACACCACACGAACTTACCGTTCAACGGTGTCTTGAATTCACGAGCAAACTTATATAACTCCATACGAACGTATATACTTTGTCTTTAACCCGGTAGAAAAGATTTGGGACAACTTAGCTGTTCACATTATTCAGTGTAACAGTGTATACGTTAACAATAGATTATAAATGTGCCTCTCTTCAACTCTGTGCTTATATTCTACTATGATAAGCTCCCCATTGGAAAAAAATAGTTTACTGCTGAATGAAAACCCTTGATAAATCCACGTAAAGTATAATACGTAAACTAGAAGTAAACTGGAAGATTTACATCTTGCGGTAGGAAAAGTGGAATAGAGAAAAATGGGAGATTGTTTGATTTCCTGATCAAAAAGAGAATGGGAGCAGTTAAGAACATAAGAACAAGGTAACTGCAGAAGGCCTATTGGCCCATACGAGGCAGCTCCTATTTATAACCACTCAATCCCACTCATATGCATGTCCAACCCACGTTTGAAACAATCGAGGGACCCCAGTTGGGAGAGGTAAGGAGAGGCCGACATGACAACTTAC